GGGTTTCCTACTCCCAGAATTGGGGAAGGGGACAGGCACTGAGGAGAGAACAAGATACTTTCAGATAAATAAACTAAGTAAAGGGGGTGGCAGTGACCAGGGGAGACCTTAGGGCAGGGTGGGAAGGGGTAGGATTATCCTGGCAGCCTTCTCGGAGGAGGTGGCCTTGCACTAAGCCTTGAATGACCAGAGAGGGAAATTCAGGGAAGAGGTTCCAGGCAGGAGATACAGCAAATGCAGTATCAGCATTGGGAGGGGAGGGGTGGCTGTGAGGGTCAGAGGGCAAGGCGGATGGGTGAGGACTTACAGACTCTGCTGTGGGGGAGGTTGTTTTATTTCAAGTGCAGTAGGAAGACCTGGAAAGTAGCAGATCCAGTTGTCATGAGTCTGAAAATTATACCATTTGGGGCATTCTCTTTAAGAAAAGGACATAGAGTTCAGAATCAAAATTAGATAGGCAATTTAATATTTATTTAGAATGAGAAAAAAATTCCAGTAAATTGTAGACTTCAAAAAGCAAGCAACTACCAAAAAACATCCGAGAACTGAGGAAAATCTCACTCTCTTACCTAGCATCCTGACACTCCCTTACAGCTTTCTCTCTCCCCTGAATCACTTGGGCTGCCTTCTCACTGTTCACATCTTCCTAAGACAATGATTTTGTAATAGCATCTTCCTTGGAGAGAATAGAAAATTCAATCAAATTTTCCTGCCACAGAGCCTGATCATCACAATTTTCTACATCAGTAGTGTTGAAGGGTTTTTTCCCCCTTCACAATCCATCAAGGATCGTGTCCTGCAAATGTTCAGGACTGTTGTCAAATTTGGGAAACCTCCTGTCAAGTTCCTTTGATATCTGAGCAGTAAGATTTCAGGGCTTAGCAAGTTTTCCTTGCAGTTTAATTAATCTTGGTTAATCTTAGAATTGACAATGCATTAACCACATCGCTTAGGGCCCAACCAGGGTCTTGGGAGAGGTTTGGAGAGTAGGGTCCCTGAAGTTTAAGTTTCTTTAGCCTTTGGTAAATCTGCCTTTGTCTGGAGTGTCCTCGAGGGGGAGGGAAATGGTCTAACCAGTGGGGCTGCTGAGCGGAGAATAGCAGACTCTTGGGGTGGCTGGGGGAGGTGGGGAGGAGGGAGCTTGTTATGGGGCTGAGTGCAGGCTCCAAGGAAGCAGTGGTGGAGGCAGAAAGGTTCTGAGATTGTTTGGGATGTGTTGACTTGGGGAACGGGAAGAGGGGCCTCAAGGATGGGCCGGATCAGATCTGTTGCCTGATTTCTCTCTTCCTCCCCACGTTCTCTGGGGGCTGAGCCCTAGGAGGATCGCTTTCCCCCTCTACCACAGCCCCGCACCCAGACCTGGAGCCTCACCCCCCCCACCGCAGCGAGAACAGATGGAGGGGCCAACAAGGACACCATTCTGACCCGGGACATGTGATGAGGTGCTGAGCAGATGAGCACAGGTTGGTCTCCTAATGGGTTCACTGGGGACTGGAAGGGGGAGGGGGAGGGGGAAGAGACCTCACTCTGCCCGCGAGGGAGGGAAGGTGCCGCCGGTGCGCAGGGGCCAGGGCTCTCAATGGTAATGCCCAGCAGTCTGTCGTCGCTCTGCCAGCTGCAGACTGACAGGCGAAGTCCAGAGGATTTGGAAATGGTTTCGCTGGCTGTGAAGAGCCTCCACCTCTCACTCCAGAGCCAGAGAGCAAAGGCATTTTCATTAGGCCAATCTGTTACATTAAGGAGGGAAAAGAGCTCCGTGAACTTGATTGAGGGGAGGACAGGGGTCACTGCACTGGGGCCGAGCTTGCGTCACCATAGCCCATGCGTGGTCTCTGCCAGTTTCGGAGCCACTGTTTTCCCCACTGGGCCCCGCAGCCTGGGCCCCCTGGTACCTGAAGCCCAGCCACCCGGACCGGGACTGGAGCACAGGGATGGAGCTGGCACAGGATCAGAGATGGAAGGGGCTCTCGGTGGGGAACAAGGTCCTGAGCGCCATGGGTAACGCTTGTTTTAGTCTCAATTAATATGGAAACTCACTGAAAATGGCAAAAAAAAAAAAAAAAAAGAATGAAATCTTGGAGGGAAAAACTCCCATCTTCCATGATACAAGTAGAACCCAGGGTTGGGGGGTTGAGGATGCAGGGGGCGGGAGAAGTCCTGCAGTTTTAAATTGGGAGGAAATTTCCCAATCTCTATGCCTCATTGAGAATGTGGCTGTTAAGGGTTAAATTGTGTCCTCCCGCAAAGTTCACATTCATGTTGCAGTCCTAACCCTCAGTACTCAGAATGTGACCTTTTTAAAAGATGAGTCTTTACATAGGTAATTAAGTTAAAATGAGGTCATTAGAATGATCCTTAATCCAATGTGACTGGTGTCCTTATACAAAGGAAAATTTTGATACAGACACACACAGACAATAATATGTGAAGATGTAGGTAGAGATGAGGGTGATGGGTCTACAGTCCAAAGAACACCAAATATTGCCAGAAAACCACCAGGAAAGAGAGAGAGGCAGCCATCTCCCTCACAGCCCTCAGAAGGAACCAACCCTGCCAACACCTTGACCTTGGATGTCTGGCCTCCGGAACTGTGAGACAGTATGTTTCTGTTGTTTAGGCCACCTCGTCTACGGTACTGATCTGCAGTCTTAGCGAGCTAATACAGTGCAAACTGACAGTGACATTGGATGAAGACCTGAAGGAGGTGAGGAAGCTGGCCAGGCAGATACGGGGAAGTACATTCCAGGCAAATGGAACAACAGGGCAGGGGCAGAGCAAACAAGCGGACAGCAGTGGAGG